TCACAACCTTGCCAATGAGAAACAGCAAAGCCCAGCCAATGAGAAACCACCACCAGCCTCACCTCTTGGTTTTCTCCAAGGGACTTTCAGTCAAAGCAGCCCCTTCCAGCTTCTTCCTTTTTCTCTGTAAAGTAACATTCCTCTTCCTTGTTCTCTGGACTTGACTGTGGTTTGCCATAGTTTGAATGTCCTGAATCGCAATTCCTCTGCCATTCCTAAATAAACTCATTTTGCCCGTAAAATAACATTTAATTTTAAGGTCGACACTGGACACACCTTTTCCTAGATGACCCGATAATATGCCTGAGTCACTTGCATTGTCCCCCCGCCTCCTCCCTCACTGCCCCCCACCCTGCCCCAGCTCCTGAGCAAGAATCCTCTTCCTGGGGTGCACTTATCAAATACAAACCAGTCAACCCAGAGTCCACACCGCACCCCCTCCTTTATGGGGGTCCACAGTCTGGGCCACGACCCACCTGCCCTTGTCACGCTAGGGCCAAGCACATGACAACTAGGGACGCCCCCTCCACCCCAGAACCCGCTGAAATCATTAATCCAGCCAATCCCATGCCTGCTTACCCTTTCCTGCCCATTCCTTCTTGTGGAAACCACAGTAAAGGCTCCCATTTCCCCCTCACTCCATCTCCTTCTTTCTGTCTCTGGTGCTTCCCTACGTGGCCCTGGTGGGTGGCATGCATGCCCCCTCCTCCTGGGAACTGTGATGAATACCTTTTCAATGGCAGGCGTCTCCTGATCTGCTCCCTCACATTTTAGAATTAACACACAGTATTTTAAAGCACCTCCCTGCTGAGCTGGAATCAGCTTCACCTGTTTCATGGAAGAGGCACTAATTCCTATCACGTGAGTCGTTACACTTTGGGGTCTATTGGCTGCAATAGTCACACAGCTGAAACGCACAGTGAGACGGCCTCCGCCCGGGTAAGGGCTTACCCTGCCTTGGCTGCGCAGAAAGCAGACCCCCATATCTGCCTAAGTCTGCTCGTCATCTTCTGTTCCACGTGCACAATGTCAGTCCGCCCAGCGCCCTCTGAATTCCACACCTGGGAGACCTCATGCCTCTCTCCCTGACCCCGCCCCCGCTCCATCACTGACACGTGGGCGGGCCTCATGGACGTGTTATATGAACAGATATAACCAAATATATTCTTTCCTCATGTCAGGTCACACAGATTTAGATCCGTCCACAACTGCCCACTTGATTACTTAGCCTTGTTGCTGAAGCTACAGGGCTTCTAAACAAGGCCACTCCGTGCCGTCTCAACATGAAACACTTGGGATCTGCACGACCACGTCTCCGGAGAGGGACCGGCTGCGCCGCCAAGGACGTGGGGTCACCGGGAGCCCCTCGCCCGGAGAGCCCCGATCCCGCTGTGAGTGGGACGTGTAGGTGGTCACCGCCCTACTTAGGGGTCAGACCTGCGGTTCCCACTCAGATTCAAACGAAACGTTACGGCTTCCCTGGTGGCACAGTGGTTGAGAGTCCGCCTGCCGATGCACGGGACACAGGTTCGTGTCCCGGTCCGGGAAGATCCCACGTGCCGTGGAGCGGTTAGGCCCGTGAGCTGTGGCCGCTGAGCCTGCGCGTCCGGAGCCTGTGCTCCGCAGCGGGAGAGGCCACAACAGTGAGAGGCCCGCATACCGCAAAAAACTAAAAACAACAAAAAAACGAAACATTAGCCTGAAGACCCGCTAGGAGGCGCCAGCATTGAGTTCTCAATTTTTTTCGTCTTGTGTATCTTTTTGATAGAAACATAAGAAACCTGCATGCCTGTTACAGGCCTGGTATTTAAAATGTTCTTATATATCTTAAGAATATTTTAAAAATTCAACCTAGATTCAGCCAGCTCTTAAAATGGTGCAATGGCTCTTTTAGTTCTATGCAAACATTAGCATATTTAAACTTTGTACAAACCCTCCACAGAATGCCCTATTCTTTTCACTTTTTTTTAAACAACTTTATTGGAGTATAATTGCTTTATAATGGTGTGTTAGTTTCTGTTTTATAACAAAGTGAACCAGCTATACATATACATATATCCCCGTATCTCCTCCCTCTTGCGTCTCCCTCTCACACTCCCTATCCCACCCCTCTAGGTGGTCACAAAGCACCGAGCTGATCTCCCTGTGCTATGCAGCTGCTTCCCACTAGTTATCTATTTTACATTCGGTAGTGAATATAAGTCCACGCTACTCTCTCACATTGTCCCAGCCTACCCTACCCCCTCCCTGTGAACTCAAGTCCATTCTCTATGTCTGCATCTTTATTCCTGTCCTGCCACTATGGTCTTCAAAACCTTTTTTTTTTTTTTAGTTTCCATATATATGCATTAGCATACAGTATTTGTTTTTCTCTTTCTGACTTACTTCACTCTGTATGACAGACTCTAGGTCCATCCACCTCACTACAAATAACTCAATTTCGTTTCTTTTTATGGCTGAGTAATATTCCATTGTACATATATGCCACATCTTCTTTATCCATTCATCTGTCGATGGACACTTAGGTTGCTTCCAGGTCTTGGCTATTGTAAACAGTGCTGCAATGAATACTGGAGTGCAAGTATCCTTTTGGACCATGTTTTTCCCCAGATATATGCCCAGGAGTGGGTCTGCAGGATCATATGGTAGCTCTATTTTTACTTCTTTATGAAACCTCCATACTGTTCTCCATAGTGGCTGCACCAACTTACATTCCCACCAACAGTGCAGGAGGGTTCCCTTCTCTCCACACCCTCTCCAGCATTTATTGTTTGTGGATTCTTTGATGATGGCCATTCTGACTGGTGTGAGATGATACCTCATTGTAGTTTTGATTTGCATTTCTCTAATAATTAGCGATGTTGAACATCGTTTCATGTGCCTCTTGGCCATCCGTATATCTTTTTTGGAGAAACGTCTATTTAGGTCTTCTGCCCATTTTTTCATTGGGTTGTTTGTTTTGATGATATTAAG